TACAGGGTGTTGCATTTGAAATAACAAAGTTTTTATGTAAAATAAATATTTAAAATAGATCAGCAATTTTTGGCAATAAATTTTAGAAAGCAATACAATTTTTCAATAGAGTTTATTTTTTCTCTACCTTTAAACTCTGTACAAGAATTAATTCTGAAAAGTAATGTAGAGGGTGTTGATAATCTATACTATTTTAGCATGCAAATTTAAATATCTTTAAATATCTCAAAAACCAAAGATTTTAAACATATATATTTAACCCTTATAAGAAATACCTTTTTTTGAGCGCAAGAATCCAAAAATTAAATAAAATACCGGGTGTTCCATAAGAAAAAATATAACTTTGGTATTGATCTTAGTTCTGGAACACCCTGTGTACTTCAAAATAATTTTAAATTATGCACATTGCCTCGCCACATATACCCATAAAATATTTTGTTTCTGCAGCTTTCTGTTTTCGTATAATCAACCGAGGTGAATGGGGTGCGCCACCCTGTATACAGGGTGGTCCGAACTGAATTCCGGAAACTTCGGCAGCATATTCTGTAAATAAAAATAAGTAAAAAAGTGCGTATAAATGTATGTTCTAAAATGCTTAGTTTCGGAGATATAGAGTGTAGAAGTTTCATTTTTATTTTGATTTTTTCCAAATAATTCCTGAAGTAACACTCAATATTTGGATGAAAATTGGTGTCTGGGAGTTTTTTGACATGAGGAATTTGATTTTTGTTAATATGACTCCTACTTGTAGAGGGCGCCACCTACATAATTTTTAATTGGGTTGAAGTGTAATAACTTTTCGTCCGTATCTGTATAAAACTACCGAGTAAATAAATATAAATTTACCACGTTTTTTACGTAAAAAATGTCTCTTAGTAAAAATTGCTACGAGTAATGGTTCTCCAGATATTTAGAAACGAAATTATCAATACCTGTCATCATTGACATAAATTAAACATGTTGACTAAATAGTTATTAGACTGGTATCATAAATTTGAAATGTTTTTGTGCCAAAAGTTCAACAGCGACAGTTTTATCATCATTTTTTCGAAGAAAAATAAAAAGTTCCCAAATTTATTATTTCAGTCAAATAACTATCTACTCAACATGTTTATTTTTAGTCAACAATGATATGTATTGGCTATTTCTATTCCAAATATCTTTAGAACGGTTGCTCGTAGCGATTTTTTCCAAGAGACATTTTTTGCGCAGAAAATCACGGAAATGTATATTTTTTCACTCAGTAGTTTTATAGAGGCACGGACGAAAAGTTATTACTCTTCAGAATAGTTGAAACACGTGTAAGTGGCGCCCCCTACAAATAAGAGTCATAATAACATCAAAATCAACTTTCTCACACCAATTTTCATCCAAATATTGACGTTACTTCAGAAATTATTTGGAAAAAATCGAAATAAAAATAAAATGAAACTTCTACACCCTATATCTCCAAAACTAAGCATTTTTGGACATACATTTATACGAACTTATTTACTTATTACATATATTATACAGTTTGCTAAAAAAATCATAAAAATAGGGCTAAAAATAAAAAAATATAACCCTTTAAATTTGACGAAACATTTTTCCGTTGCGTTTTTTTGCATGAATATTGAGTGAAGTACCTACAATTCGGTGGTTATAAAGCGGGCGTTGGAACAAGAGAACTACTATTCAGCTTACAAGTGCTAATACAAGCGAATAATAAATTGCTTGTTTTATTAATTTTCAAAAAGCATTTGCCAGACGCGGAACATTAGTTAATATTTTGAAAACATAATAAATAAGAAGGTAGGCCCCGTTAGAAGAAGAAGAAGATAAAAAAATCATCTTATAATAAAAAAAACAATAAAAACAGATGAGGATTATAACTGACCGTTTCTTCAAGTCAGTAACAAATTAGCTACAACTTTGTTGGAAACAATCAAGACCATTAGCAGTACCGGTATTCAAAAATGCGGAAGAAATCCGCCGGTTCGTTTCAGTGATCGATCGCATGCATAATAACTTCGAAGGGTGTGGTCCTGATGGCGCTTCGACCATCTCCGTGGCACCGTTAGCCCAGGTACCACCGTTGGTTCGGATCGTGACCGCACAGAGGGCGCCCGTAAATCAACCTGGGGAATATCATTAGGATGGAATTAAAGTCCGGTGGTCCACGATAGATCGCCAAGTTTGGCGAGCGAAAACAGCTAATGGAGGTTCCCATAGCGGTTGAGTTTTGTTTGGTCTTACATAATTTGATTAATAGGCTGTAATTTTGTGTGAATAAACTGATGGGGTATTACACGAAAACATCTGTAAAGTTTTTTAAGTAAACTTTTTTGTTTTTTATTATATATTTTTTAACAAACTGCACTGTAGAGATGAGCAAAAAATCGCAAACTGCGATTCAACTGCAGCGATTTTAAAATTCACAATCGCAATCTGCCATTGGCTTTCTTAGGACACTGAGACTGCGATTTCTTCTATTTGCGATTTTTTACAATTTTAATTTAGGCAACCAATATTACTATAGCTGCGATTTCCGATTTTACTGAGATTTGGATGCGATTGTGATTTTGTTAAATTGGGGCCGTGATATAACATTCTATCTGCGAGTTTGAATTTTAAAGAGTTGCGATTTGCGATTTTGTTACGAATATCATTTTGTGGTCTATTGAAGCATTCTATAGTAAACTGCGATTGAATTTTCCCTCTGATATTATTTATTTATAGAAAAGGTATTATTTTTCTAGGACCATTCATATAGATCATAATAAACAAAAACCAAACAAACAACGCTTTATTGTACAAAAAGCCAAAACAGCTTCATCGACAAAGCACTCACAAACAACAAAATCACAAAAAAAATACAAACAACAAAAAATACACAATACAAATAATACAATTCAAAAAATTTTAAGTCTTTAAAATTACAAAAAGAATATACATGGACAATTTTAGAACAGTACGCAGTAAATAGATATAATTTTAGAGCTACAAAATATTAAATACTTGACCTTTGACCAGTGTGTGAGATGATCAAAATTTTAAAATTCAAAATTATTCATAATTAAACATCAAGAAAAAAATCGTTTACCGCATATAGGGCTCTCTCCAGTAGGTATGATTTTAGAGCTTTGCGAAATGCGGGAAAGAATGAAAGCGACTTGATATTCAAAGGCAGATGATTGTACATTTTTTTGGCATTGTATAGTATTGAACCTTTAACTAGTTCTGAGCTCGGGGTTGGCAGATAAAGATCGTACTCTGCATTCCTAAGTGGATAGTTATGAAATGGCCTTTCGGGAATAGCAGATATGTGCTTGCGGATTAAGCAAACGAATTCAAAAATGAATAAAGAAGGAAGAGTCAGTATTTTCAAATCTTTAAAGAAATTCTGGCAGTGAGTTCTACTGTTCAGTCCCAATAAATATCGAACTGCTCTCTTTTGAAGTCTGAAAACACGATCAAATTTTGTTGCGCAGCAAGTACCCCAGAATGGAAAGGCATAACGAAGATGTGACTCAAAAAGGGCATAATAGGCTATTCTAGAGGTTGAGAAGTTAAGTTCCTTAGAAACTGATCTTAGCGCAAAACTGGCAGCGCTTAGTTTCTTTGATAGAGCTTCGATGTGAAAGTCCCATTTTAACGAGTTGTTTACAGCAAGTCCTAAGAATTTCACATAGTTCACGACGTCAATAGTGGTGTTATTAAGTATAAAAGGTTGTATAGTACTTTTATATGACAAAACTTTAGTTTTTGATAGGTTGAGGCATAGGAGATTAGAATCGCACCAAGACTTAATGGTGCGTAAGTCACTGGATATTAGTGATGGGTCGGTATTTGAGTAACGCGATTTTGGAGCGGTATTTTTTTGTAACGTCGTGTCGCGATCCACAACGAATCAGGAACCTGTTACTGAAGAATGACGATCATAATAATGACAAAATTATAAATTATTTATAATTTGCAAATAAATTATTTATAATCGCACTTGAAGTTAGCTCGAACCGTAATAACCGCATAGCAACGTGTTTAGCTCCAGCCGTCGCGATTTCGTCGGTCGTCAACAGTAGTATCTGGAACTGGTATGTCCGTAGCGCCGCGCGATCTCGATCGGGACGTGTTCGCTCCAGCCGTCGCGCTCCTAGAGTTGTACTTCCCTGTCGCGAACAGAAGTAACTGCTGTAACTGGGCATCGACGCTCAACCTCGGTGGCGACCTACTTCGCTCCAGCCGTCGCGCTCCTAGAGTTTCAGTTCCCTGTCACGAACGGAAGTAACTGCTGTAAATGATTATCGACGCTCGACCTCGGCGGCTACGTACTTCGTTCCAGCAGTCGCTGGAGCGCTTCTAGGGTTTCGGTTTTGCCTGTCGCGATTTGGTTTGTTACTATTGGCGTTGGTGCTCCCGTCGCTACGTTACTTTCGCAATAGCGAATTTTGGAAATTTTTGCGTCAATAACATATTTAAATATAAAAATCACAGTCGCAGCGATTTAAAAATCGCAATCGCAGCTTCAATTGCGATTGAAGAATCGCAATTTTGCTCATCTCTGCTGTATACAGTATGTCTCCAGATCATTACTAGAGGGAACACTGTTTTTTTAATAACATTTTCAGAAAAATGCAATATTTATAAAAAAATTCTTGTTCTAAAATGGTTAAACCTGTTTATACCCAGAGCTGCAAGCTGACAGACAACTTTTAAAGTTTTTAAAAAACTTAAAAATTTTAAAGGTATTTTGTGAAATATTACGCAATACCCTTCACATACCCCGAAATTCTCTTGAAATTCACCAAAATTCCCTCGAAATACCCCGAAATACCTCGAAATTCACCGAAATTCCTCCTAAAATGTTCCTCTAATTCCCACGTTTGTACACTAAAATACACCAGTGATTTCCCTCTCGGTTAGGATTGTTAAGATAGACAATATCGTAGAAAGATTGAAAATAGTTTTGTTTATATTCTCGACAATAGCTATGTTAAAGTTGGTTTTTCTTTTTGTTTCAGAACAAAGCAATTATGTAGCAGCAGACTCCAATAGTTCCAATACAACAAAATCATTTGTTCCTTGCAAGGTGTGCGGTGACAAAGCATCGGGTTATCATTACGGAGTTACTTCTTGCGAAGGCTGTAAAGTAAGTTTTAGTAATTCATCCTTTGCATGAAAAGATTAAGGAAGGAGTATATGCTATCCATGTATTCATGTATGGTAGACGGACAAAGGGCCCTAGGGTGGGGATCCTTGACAGTTCTATTTGACGATTTATTTGACAGATTTGAATTTGAAATTTTGTGGATTTGTCAGTCTTTACTGAGCTTATTTTATGTTATTTATTATTTATTCTACTACTGAGAGTTGTTTAAAGGTAGTAAATCTATAAATCTAGAAAAAAATTGTGGCAGAACTTAAATTAACAGTGATATTATATATTGCGATTTATTGAAAAAAAACTGAAAAATAGTTGGTTGTGTAGCGTGCAGTAGATCTCGGTCAAAAATCGAGGGAAATAATGGAATAAATTTTCGCTATTAAGTAATACTAAGGGCTGGCAAAGGTTAGTCTTGGATCGAGATTTCCGTATGTAAGAAGAGTACAATGCGTTTATAATGTACTGAAAAAAAAGAGGACAGTAAATACGTTGCCAAACGTATGAAATAAACCGAGAAACTGTACACATCGCTAAGAGACGTGGAAGGGGATATAGCAGATTTGTCGCAGTTGACCGGTCGACCCAATCAATACCTCTGTCAGTACTTAAAGTTCTAGGGAAGGGTGTACGTCATGCGTTCAGCTTCACGATTTAATTACGTCTCGTGATACTTGATTTGTTTATTTATTAACAAGTCGTTGTAATTTTCCCTATAGCTTGAATTTTTTTAAGTGCAAGCTAAAAACACTTGCATTTTTGGTAAAAATAAGTGGAATTGAGTGGGTGTTCGATAGTGGTCGCGCTATTAGAACTCTGAATTCAAAAATCGATATCTCGAAATCTATTAGAAATAATAGATTGTAGTTTTTTCAAGAACTTTGTTAATATTTCTGCTGTATTTTCTTTGTAGACAGTATGTGAAAATCTTTATCAATAAAAAAATTACACTAAAAAGTAAATGGATGGATTGTTTACAATTTTTGAATGGAAAAAACAACCTTATCGAATTTTTCTTATGTAAACATATTGTAAAATATCCGATCTTGAAAATAAAAAAAAGTTTCAATATCTAAAGTGGTTCATGAGTTATGGCCTGTTATGTGTTAAAAAGTTGAGTTTTTCAATTATCGCGATTACTGACGTTTTCTCGTTATAAAAAAATGACAACCTAACGATATCCTTATAATTCCATTTCAGATGCTCAGAAACATGTCTAATGATTTTATCTAGTTATATCTTGAAAAAAAAGTATTTTAAAAATAAGCGGTTTGCGATCGTGATTTTACTTTACTTGACAGGGAAAGGCGTATCGGCAACGCCGCAACAGCGCACCGTCGCGCGTCGCGTCGGTCGGTCGGTCGCATTTCTCTCACTCCGACTTAATAAGATCCCTATGCGATTTACTTCCACACATGTAAATGCCGACCCAAAAGTAACAGTTGTCAGTACGGTATAATATACATACGTGTAGTAAAACAATAACCAATCATTTATGAAATTCACTTAAAATTAATTAATTATATATTTTTTCTTGCATTTTTACTTTTATTTATTACTTGTCAAAGATTAGATGTCAAAGACTCTATTTTTTATACTTCAATTTGACTTACCTGCTTCAGTAACGTATCGAATGTGTGTGTTAATAAATTATTATTATAACTTATCTATTTTTTCTAGAATTCTATATTTTTCTATATTAATCTATAGCAATTTTAATAACTACCAACGTAAAACACGTAAAATAAAACAACAAAATTATTGAGTCTACCCTGCAATGACCCTGCATCATATTTTTACACGTTTTGAATAAAATTAGAACGGCACTGATACCGGAATTTAAGTCGGCCATTTCGAGTCCGTCGCGTTCGATTTAAGATTTTTGACATGCTCCTCCCTTAATCTTTTTATTCAAAGATAAGTGTCTTATTGACATGGAAATCAAATTTGTCATGTCAAAAAATACCCAGACACTAATTTTTATCCAAACATCGACGATAGTTGAAAAAAATGAAATTTCTACACCCTGCATGTCCGAAACGTAGCCCATTTTAGGACATTATATTTATTTATAAGAACTGTTTGACTAATTTTTCTCTCAATAATATGCTGCCGAAGTTTCCCAAAATACAATTCATGACCACCCTGTATAAATAATTGATATCTGGCCATAACTTATTTCATTTTATATCTGTCTCTATTTAGCTCATATGGGTGGCTATCAATATTTTGTCAAGGGCTAACGTTTTTGTCTGGCTATTTCTTTATAGCAAAAAAGGGGTTCAAAAAAGTGAAGTGTTTTTTGAAACCATCACCACGATATGATCAGTTTATGTTCGACTAGTGTGAGGTTCGCAGAGTAGTAATCACTAGGTAGTTTTTGTTAAATTTTTGATTTTTACTCTTGTTGATAAAAATTTTTCGAGTACAGTCTCAAATTTTACTGCCGTTTAGTGTTTTTAATTGGATTTCTTTATTTGGTATCGTACATTTCAGTTTTTTTTATTAGTTTTTTTCTTCTTCGGATATTATTAATAATATAAATTTAATAATAAATTAGATTAAATAAATAATTTATTATTTTTTTTATTTGAATTTTATTAACTATGATTAATAAAATTACGTTTTTTTTTTCAAATGTAACAGAAGTATCAATTATTGCCATTATAGAAAAGTCATTTTAAGGCTCCCCTTCCCACTGGCGCTAGTCTTGCATTTGTAAGGGTTTGGCTGTCACAAAATGCTGCAAAAACCATGTGACCTTTCTTCACGAATCTTTGTGTGTATACATGTTATGTACGTGCTTATAATTATATTTTCTTCCCCAACCTCAACTCAAACTGTTTCAGATTTACCCCTAAAACGCCCTAAAAAAAGATGATTTTATAAGTAATTTTTTTAGCATTAAATGTATTCAAATCGATTTTAAAACTAATTACGAGCATGTCCGGAAGCTTCCTTAATAAAGTAAAACAAAAATTATTTCAAAATATTAAAAAACATGGTCGCAATTTTGTGACGCCTGACCCTCTGCAAACCCAATTTTGATCATTTTTGTTGCCCGTAATGTGGCGCCCTCACGTGAATTTTGAAGGCGGGCAAAGAAAACCAAGTACGTATTCGAATTATTTGGATAAATTATTTTATAACGCTTGTCTCTTACACAATAATTTGAAATTTTTATTTTGTAATCAAATCACACGGCAAACAAAATTTGCGTTGCATCTATTGTGTGTGTATGGTCATTGATCATGATGCAATGTAACAAAACATAAAACAATAAATAATTAATAAGATGGTTTGACCACTGTGAAGTAATGGAAGGCATCTGTAGCTTCTAGAATAAAAAACTTTTTTAAGTTTGCAAACCTAAATTATGTACGAGGATGTATTTCAGGAAAATATTTTAACTTCTCTAGGGTGGCTTAAAAAAGTGTGAGTGGACCGGGATGATTTTTTTAAATGGAACACTCTGTATATTGTTGCATTTTTGGCTTCCTTTCTGATCACTTTACATAATCCTAAGATAAGATGTAAATATATTTGGATAGTTTCAGAGATATTAATAAATAAATAAAAAATATATATTTTTCAATAAGTTACAAAGTAAGTTGATAAAATATTGCATTTTCAAAATAATTACAAATAAAATGAAGGTACAGCTCTTATCATATTTTTATGCAATTGTCTCAAAAGTCTTAAAAATCGATTTTTTAAGAAAAAACTAGTTTTATAAAAAGTTCATTACTTTTGAGAAACCCTGTATGACAATTTTTTTTTAAATATTATGTTGCTTCTAGGCTCATACATTTTTTGGAAACTAGTTAAGGTGTGACTTTGACCTGAATGTGCGAAAATACGATTTTTTATGTGGGTTAATATTGTAACACTCTGTATAAACTATTTCCTATGCACTAATAATTGTTAATTTTTTCATATTTTGTATTGACTTTGTAATTTTAACACATATTGAATAATATCTACGAGCAAAATAATTTTTCCATAAAATATGGCCCACCGTTGGGATTTTGGGCGCCGGCGCCGTTGACCCTGGATTTATCGAGAGATTCGTAAGTGCAAGTAGTCGATGCACCGGCTTCTGTTAGTTTAAAAACTACCTCGTCTCTTCGGATTTCCCGCAGGTGTTATAGTTTGTCTAGGGAAGGGCAGCCTTAACGCCTAAGCACAAAGTACGAAAATATATTATTAAACTACGACCATGACCACCATGACACACAGGCCAGAGACATCCATTTGTGACGTCACCGCATTAGTCCGGCTTTTGTATTGTGCCATATGGTACTGCATATAGGTTTTGCATAAATAATAGTATTTATTGATAGTTTTGCCAGATATAAATATGAAAAATATTATACAGAAAGGTATTAAAAAATAACATCAACTTTTTATGGCGTTAAAGTAATTGAATAGCGTTAAAATTTAGATCTAAAGCACGAATATTAATATGAAATAAACTACAGCATAAGATGAACAAAATAAAATCTAGATAATAAAAAGCGTGCCCTAAAATTATGTTAGCGAGTACTAGTTGCTAAAGTAATAATATACCTGTGATAAAAAGTTTCCAAATATTAAAAAATTTGAAAACTATACGTTTATCGACAAGTTAAGAAAATGTATTGTATATGATAACGGCAGAATAAGTTACAATTATTTTTAATTAAAGTTTAATTAAAAATAATTGTAAAAATTTGCCTAACATATTTAAAAAATGTGGATATCAGATAGAATTAACTACTAACATTAAGTAATTTGTAGTTCGATGTTCATCAAGTAACTATTTCCATAATTTCTTTAAAATATATTGCCATTTCATAATAATAATAATACTTTTCAATATTTATTTCATCCTGAATTTCCAAATCTTGTTTTCTTTCATCTGGACGTTTTCTCTTTATGGGAACATGCACAGAGGGTCCATAAGAGGGCTAATTTTGAAAAATTGTAGGCACAGCATGTTCTGTAGGTTTTGGACGTGGCCTAGTTACAGTTAATATTGTTGGGAAAGAGAATGTAGACAGATCCTGAGGACTTATTATAATTGCTGCTACAAGGCACAGGCACAGAACAATGTCGCGGAATTTTTTATTTCACAAAGTAAAAATAAAGAAACGAAAACTGGTTTTACATAAAAATACACGTCACTTACGTTGGTTTAACACTATACACTAACACTAACGCTATTAATTATGTTTTTATATAAATTCCCCAACTTTTTCCTAGTCCGGACACACAGCCGATGTTACTATAATTTTTTCCGAAAGTATGTTTTTTTCGCGGGTACGATGTTATGAATCGAATCTAGATAGTTCACTATTCACTCAAAATTATTTAGTATAATTTTATTAGCATAGAAACGCGTAAAAAACACAGATTTGTTGCGAAACTAATGAAAACAATTGGTTTGTTTACGACTACTAATTCTGGACCACGTCGGTAGAACTGTCAAAACAGTCAGGCCTTGAATATGACGTTAGCCACGCTACGACTGACTACGACCAACGCTATGACATAAAGTGTTAAATTCAACGAGCGTAACCACAGTTTTTTTTTTTAATTTTTTTTTAACGCGAGCAGTGGCGGATACAGCGGGGGGCCTGCTTGGTTTAAATATTAGGTTTTTAGATTAAACGCCCTAAATAGCATATTCCACATTACTTTTTATTTGGGCCCCCCCCTAAAATAAATTCCTGTATTCGCCTCTAAACGCGAGGAATCTCCCTGAATTTGCCTGGGTATCGGAGAATAAATTATTTTTTTATATTATGATTTATCACAAACATTCCAATTTTTCTTATGGTTATTTGTATATACAATTTTAATTAGTACGTTCATCGTTGTGGTTCAAAAAGAAATTGACTGATATCAGTTCTTTTTGACCTGATGCAATATACCTATCGTGTATCGGCAAGGTATACCAATTCGTTTTAACTTATTTAACTTTCTTCTTATCTTGTAGGGATTCTTCAGGCGCAGCATCCAGAAACAGATAGAGTATAGGTGTCTCCGAGACGGCAAATGCCTGGTTATAAGACTGAATAGGAATCGCTGTCAGTATTGTAGATTCAAGAAATGCCTAGCCGTCGGCATGTCTAGAGATTGTAAGTATTCGAAATGGATTTATTTTTCATTAAATCGACTTTCATTATCAAAGTAATGTTAAGGGAGTGGATTTTAATTTTAGATATATGTAGAATGTTTTTTTTTATTAACACTAACGCATTATGTAATTTTCTATGGCGGTTTTAATTTATCTCCTAATGAGTTAAACAAAAATTTGTCCATTTACTGCAAATACAGGGTGAATCTTAAATAAGGGCAAATATTTTCAGGGCTGGTAGATCTCCATAAAAGAAACATATTTTCTCTTTACCGTTTTTAAGTGCAAAATAACCGAGTTATTTTAGTTTGAAAATTTCCAAAAAAAATATTTTTTTGCATAAATTTTGAGAACCACTGGATCTTTTCTGGGTTTTCTTTTTTGTAAATTTAATCTACTATCTATGTTGCCATATTATCAAGAAATTATGTTATTTAACAAAAAACTAAAAAAAATCAAAAACATTTTTCATAAAATTCCAAATTTTCCAAAAAGATTTACTGACGCAAAATCATAAAAATTAAAATATCTCAGATAATATTTGTCGGAGGGGTAGGCAACCTTAATAATATTTTGAAGATATATAAATTCCTCATTGAACACCAGAAAAATATACTGGGTGTTCCATTTAAAATAAAGGAGTAACTTGCTTTTAAAAGTGACTAATGTTCCATTAATTTTGTCTCATCCTGTATAACTTTTCGGGTCAAATTTCAATTTGGTTTAACTTACAATGGTTACTGTAATTAAATATCAGGCTATACAAGGTCGACGAAAATTTAGGTAGCTGTTATCGAAATTTAAAATTTACTCTTCATTTTCACAAAATGTGAAATATGTCAAAATCCTTAGATTTTAGGTATATGTTTCTTTAATAAAACTCACCTTTATTTTTATCCTAGAATCCGAAAATCAATTAATATATAGAGTGTTCCATTAGAAAAAACATAACTTTGATGTGTAACTTTTTTGGGGACACCCTGTATACTTCTATATATTTTTATAAAATGCTTTCAGTTAACCTACATATGCTGCCAAAATTTCATTTTGATATAAACTACCGTTCTCCTTGGAGCGTCCGCGGCGTATGAGAGGCGTCACCCTGTATAATCAAAATCAATCAGGCTATGAAATTACTTTAATGATATTTTTTTTAATTTATTATTTAACGAATAGTTCGAATAGTTAACTGCTTTTTTTAAGTAAATGGAGTATTTTTTTCTAATAAAATGTAAAAAATATACATAGGAACTCAACTTCCAGATTTTTAGCTACATACTTCCTAACACTATCTGAGCGTAATCCTAAAGATGCTATATTATGCACTGATCAATAGTAATGACTGATCTTGGTCTGGGTCTTGCAAAAAAAAATCCTCGGTATTTTTTTCTGGTGAAACACGAAGTGACCGAAACCAATAAAATACGTCAATCAATCCTGATTTATATTATACCGGGTGCGTCTCAAAAGTAGCTCATCCCTATAACTTTTTTATTTTTTTTAGTTAAAAAAACGAGATTTCATATGTTAGTATATGACATAAATTAGGATTGATTGACGTATTCAGTTGTTTTCGGTCACTTCCTGTTTCACCGGAAATGACTACAACATTTGATTTTTAAATAGCACCCTCGGTATTTTTTACTTTCTTTGATAGAAAATAACACTCTGAATAGAATGGTATATCGTGTCAACTTTTGACATTTTTACATAAATGGTTTATTTGATAAATTATTCGTAAAAAATGCTTTTTCCAAATATGCTAATGAGCCACCCTAGTTCCATTTGAAAAAATTGAGATATGATTAAAAATACGATTTGGGCATCTTTTAATCGGCCAGGAAAAGACGCTAAAAACATCAAACGATGAAATCTATTTTTTCAAGGCTGCTTGATTAAAAACTAGTGTTTTTAACATAGCCATGGCACTCTAGATTGAAATTTAAGATACGATTTTTTATTAAGCGAGAATGTCAAAAGTTGACATATGATATGTCATTCTATTCAGAATATCATTTTCTATCGGATAATCATCAACAATCAATCCTAATTTATGTCATATACTAACATACCAAATCTCGTTTTTTTATCTAAAAAAAATAAAAAAATTATAGGGGTAAGCCACTTTTGAGGCGCACCCGGTATACTAACATATCAAATCTCATTTTTTATCTGAAAAAAATAAAAAAACTATAGGGATGAGATACTTTTGAAAATCACCCGGTGTGGTAAATTTGTAGATATTTTTTGGTAAAATAAATAAAACATCTAAACTCGCGATCATGGATGACCAATTCCTGGCCCCTTCTTAAAAGGCGCCCACTCTAACCCAAGTTCATCATCTAAACCGCCTCATCTCATTCTCATCCGCCCCCGTATCCCGACCGTCTCCAGAAAATACGATCATTAGATTGCATCTTTCCAGCGGTGCGGTACGGCCGCGTGCCCAAGCGGTCGCGCGAGCGCAGCGTCGAGGACCAGCAGCCTGCGTCCAGGGTGGTGAGCACGACGACGGCGCCGGACGTGGTTGTTGCCGTGGTTAGCCCCTCGTCCAACACCGTCACCACCACGGAGGCCATGTCGCCCTCTTCGGTGGTGACGGCGGCGACCAACACGGCGGTCACGCCTTCGGCGAACGCGTGCAGCGTCATCGTGGACAACGACAGCAAGCAGGTGGCGCTCTATGATGTCATTTTGGAAGTGTCTCAGGTGAGTAGATGATAGATAGATATAGTAGAGTTTACAGGTCCCTACACACGAAACACTTATCATGAAAAGTTTGAAAACTTGCATGCCGGTTTTCAATCTCATTTTCAATTATGCTGTAGCTTTCCTCACATATTTAGATACTTACTCTCTTTGTAGTTGGGGCCATTGTTGTCTATTGTTGGCTATGCGGGCCGAAGGTATCCCTGCTAATTTCCTAATATCATCGTCCCCTCCCAAGTTTGGTCTTCTTCTAGGTTTCTTAATTCCTCGTGGGTACCATGCTATAATTTTTGTAGTCCATCTGTTGTCCGTCGTTCTTGCAAGGTGTCCTGCCCATTGCCACTTGAGGGATTTGATTCTGTGGATGGACATCTATTACCTGGATCTCTTGTCGTATCTACTCTATTTTTTACGACCCGGCATATTTCGTTCCATTGAGCGTTATGCGACCTGTAGTGTCCTTATAATGTCCGTTTTAAGGTTAATTCTCACTATACCTTCCGTATCAGCTACCTTCCGTTTCCCTTCCGTTTACATAAAATATTATATCATGTAAATGAATAGGACAGTGCACACTATCCGTTCCGTTTCCCTTCCGTTCCATATCTTTTCCATCCATACATTTTTTTGGCGGACGCGGACGGACTGAAGCGCATCGGAAACAGCGTTGTCATGTTCTTACATTTATTCCAGCTCTGTTAGCATTTTGCTGATGTTTTTTATTCTTTCATCTCTATTCAAAAGATACAAGTTTTTCAACTTTTTTTCTCAAGATATTTAAAACAATTTCTGTTTTAAATATCTTGAGAACGGTTGCTCGTAACAATTTTTACCAAGAGGTATTTTTTACGTAAAAAGTCATGGAAATGTATATTTTTTTAGTCAGTAGTTTTATACAGGTACCGTCGAAAAGTTATTACTTTTCAAAATAATCAAAATGCATGTAGGTGGCGCCCCCTAAAAATAGGAGTCATTTTGACATCAAAATCAAATTTCTCGTATCACATAACTTCCAGACACCAATTTTCATCCAGATATTGACGTTACTTCAGAAATTATTTAGAAAAAATCGAAATAAAAATGAAACTTTTACACCCTGTATCTCCGAAACTAAGCATTTTAAGACATACATTTATACGGACTTTTTTACTTATTTTTATCTGCAGAATATGCTGCTGAAGTTTCCGGAATACAGTTCGGACCACCCTGTATATATTCTTCTACTATTTCCAATGTTGTGTTATTTATTAGAATGTCCAAGAACAGTTAACCTAATAGGTTACAGTTGAGGGTTGGAACCTTTGGTGTTAAACAGCAAAATAAAAACACTAAATCACCACAATACACCAAAACACTTTTACTTTTACACTAACTTTTTAGTTTATAATCACCTGCTGATGATGCTAACATGGTTAGCGAAACGCGCGTCCAGTGTAAAAGTAGAAGTGTTTTGGTGTATTGTGGTGATTTAGAGTTTTTATTTTGCTTTTTAACCTAATAGGACTGCTCATTCAGCCAACAGTGTCCGCCAGGTGCATGCGAAAACTACTCGCTTTGTGACGTCATTGTAGTCCTTGTCATGGTTTGATTTGGTTACTTCAAATACGTTTAAATTACCTATACGGAGGGTACCGCTTAAATTCCTGTCGCGATGTTAAAGGATGGCTATAGAATTTCAATGCATTTAATATATATGTCTATCCTTGTGTGGTAGGAGGTTGGACTAAACAAGGATGAACCTATGTCTTGAAACCATTCGACTCGATTTTCTGTCCTCCTTCAATACTGGGACATAAATTCTCTTATTGCTCTTATGGGGAGGCCGCGGTATAGGAAATTTAAACGTATTTGGGTTACTTAGTCCTTGTCCGGCAACCAATAATACACACACGTGCATTATTGGTTGCCGAATACAAAACGTTCATTATTTAGCATATATTATATAGCCAAACTATATCGTGGGCACTAAGAAAGCACTTTGTCACAATCGACAACACAAAATAAACGTATTTATACACTCTATAGCTCTAAAAACTTTAAAGACACCTTTTTCACATTTAAAAATGACAAAATAATTAACTCAAAATTTCTCAGCTGTTATTTTTATAAGTTTACCCTAGGCAACTAATAATACACACTATCATGACGAGGACTACAATGACGTCACAACTGTCAGCTGAAGCGCGGGAAGAGGCGAACGTACGTCTTAGGAGGATGAGCAATCCTATTAGTTTACTGTTCTTGAGAATGCCTTTTCTGTCACTAGTTCGTTGTACATTACTTTAGTTTTTGCTAAATTTATTTTGAGACCTAAACATATATATAATCGTCTGGGCTAAAACTAAAACAACGGTTTCTTTTCTTTTTAATTTCATTGTAGTCCTGTTCCAAACTTATTGTTAATTTTAAAGCATACAAAGAGCGTTTCAAAATAATTTTCCCTTTAAAACAGAATTTATAATTTGGAAACTCTGAAAAAACTACCTAACGTTTAACATAAAAAACGAATAAACAATGTTTGAAACCATGGAAAAGGGACAAATACGAATATGAAGTTTGCTACTTAGCAAAGGTATACGTTGTTACCAAGATTATTCACTGATTAACTAAACAATTTGCTGTACATGGAGAAAATGTATCAAAAATAATGCGAATGCAAATTGGTGTGAACGGCCATCAATTAAACAAAAACAATACTTGCCACTATGGAAAAATGGTCTCTTTATTTTACATTTTCTTTGATTGTACAGCTTATCTCACAATTCCTTGGATGAACAATTATCCTTTAATTACTCTAACTGTTTACCACAATGCATTGCCTAGTCTACTTTAAGAAGAAACGCATGTAATCTAGTGTTTCAGAAGTTGAAATACCTCATGTTTAGTACCTAATCTGAAGTTTAGTAACTAATTTGTTATATTTTAAATTAGGCTCACCATGCAAATTGCAATTATACCGACGAACGAACGAGAAGCTTACAGAAGCGACCTTTCTTGCCACCACCAAGGTACAAAACGGAAGACGACGACGAGGATAGGGATGATGGAGATAGCGACCAAGTGGCATCGTCAACCGCGGAGTCTTTAGAGAACGACAAGTAATTATTTTTGTTGTTGTAAATCAAACATTAATTTAAATTTGATTCTGATCTTATGCGAACAACTCTGATTCTTGGTATAATATAATATTTTAAGCCATAATAAGAACTATTAAATAGGTGTAGGTACATCCCAATTCTTGTGAATCCGTTATAGAAAAATTATGTTTAAATGCACATTGTTCAACATTATTTATTAACTAACAGTCTTCAAATTCCTTATAACTATACATAATAAAATCAGTTCTGCTAATCAATTATATATTGGATTAATAATGGAGATAAGTCGCCAAATGTTTGTATAATTAACAGATAACAGATAACAATAACGGACTGTACTGCTTTAGAATAGCGTTACTTATATTCCTCCTTCAACTGTATTTTAAGTGGCATAGCATTAAAAGGTATGTGTGGTTTTGGCTGGTAGGAGTATTTTGAGTGCTGATATTTTCACCCACTGAAATGACATTAAAAAAAACATAAATTCAGTAAATAGCGGAAACAAAATAAAACTATATCATATTCAACACAATGCTAAGAATTCTAAGAGAGGATCATAACACTGCCAGTTATGTCTGCGATTTTAATTAACAGAAAATTGTATTTTCTGTCATTTTTTGGATGTCGTCTGTCGAAATCTTCCCTGAATCGTTGGACAGACCCTATATCAGACAGTAATATTATTTTATATAGATCAACAACATGGCCAAATTTGTTATTGTTATGTATAATAACTAATATATCTGGAAATGGTAAATCTATCGTTGTTCTCAATTTCGTATATAAATTTAATAGAAGAAAAAAAATCGATTATTTAATGTTGAAATAACATTTTCTGAAATCAAAATTTGTGTCAATATACAGTATGTCCCCGGATTTTCTTTACAAGAGGAAATTTTTTTTTTATTATTGAAATTTCGAGAAATTATTCATAAAAATTTGTTTATTCTAAAATGGTTATTCCCGTTCATACTTTTCCTGTCATACCGTTTTAGAGTAAAATGAGTAAATTCAAGTCTTTGAATAAGAAGACTAAGGAAGGAGCATAATGCTATCCATGTATTCATGCATGGTGGGCGGAAAAAGCGCCATAAAAGCACTCTAGGGTGGGGATCCTTGACAGTTCTGTTTGACGATGCATTTGACACATTTGAATTTGATTTGAAATTTGGTGGATTTGTCAGTCTTTACGGAGCTTATTTTATGTTATTTATTATTTATTCTACTACTGATAGTTGTATAAAGGTAGTATATCTAGATGGAAATTGTGGCAGAACTTAAATTATCAGTGACACTATCGCGATTTATCGAAAAAGACTCTAAAATAGTTGGTTGTGTAGCGTGCGGTAGATCTCGGCAAAAATTGAGTGAAATAATGGAACAACTTTTCGCTAATAAGTGACTATATAATATACATACGTGTAGTAAACCGATCATTTATAAAATTCACTTAAATTAACTAAATTATATATTTTTCTTGCATTTTAGCTTTTATTTATTACTTGTCAACAATTAGATGTCAAAGAATTTAGATACGTCAACTTGACTTACCTGCTTCAGTAGCGTATCGAATGTTTGTGGTAATAAATACTTATTATAACTTATCTATTTGTATTAGAATTATATATTTTTATAACAATTTTAATAACTACCAACATTTATTCACAACGTAAAATAAAACAATAAATTATTGAGTCTACCCCACGTCTACCCTACATCATAGTCTTACATTTTTTAAATAAAATTAGAACGACACTGATAAACCGGAATTTAAGTAGGCCATACTTGAGGCCCATCGCGGTGTACCTAAGATTTTTGATATGCTCCTTCCTTAGTCTTCTTATTCAAAGATTCAGGTAAATTAAAAACAAAAGAAAATGTAGTTGATTTTTTTCTGTCAACGCGTTTCTATGGTAATATAACTCTGTTTTCATTCTTTGATAGATTGTTATTGATAGAATTTTAATTAACATAATATATTTTGCAGTTTTAAAATATTAAAGAAGCACAAAATTTATTTAGACGGTATGGAAATTTGCAAAATTATAAACGGGATTAACCATTTTAGAACAAGCAAATGTTTTTTGAAGAATGCATTTTTCGCAAAATGTCAATAATAAAAAAATTTCTTCAAAAATAAATAAATTCAGTTCAATAAAAAAGTTCTATTAATGGTATAGTTATTGTTTACTAGAATTCAAAGATTTTTTGTGTATTTTGGTAAACTAGGTATATTTATGTAGATGTAACGTAAAACGTAAAGATGATTCGAAGTACATTTTATGTAAAATATTCTTTTTTCAGATGTTGGCTTTGGCAACAGTTCGCTACGTGTATGACCCCTTGTGTCCAAAGGGTGGTAGAATTTGCCAAAAGAATTCCAGGATTTAGCGGTTTAGGCCAGGACGATCAACTAATCCTAATCAAACTGGGGTTTTTCGAGGTGTGGTTGACGCACGTGGCTAAGTTGACGAACAATCAGCAATTGGTTTTCGATGACGGCACGTTAGTCACCAAACAGCAGTTAGAGACTATGTACGATGTAAGTATGGAAAAGTAACTATATTTTAAATAAAGAATTTTGCAGTTAAAATGCAGAATATCTTCTTGGGTCTTCCACGCTTTCTCCGATTTTGAGGTTTTTGTTTGGTGGCATGGAAATGAAATTTAATGAATAGATAGTGTGGTTATTGGATTTCACGTTAAATATAACAGTTTTTTAATTAAGAATACAGAAACTTAATAATGGTTTTAAATATTTTTTTAAGTGATAAAAGTGCTGTTTTGTCAGTAGTCGGACAGTGCTTGCTAGTATCCGGCCGGGTATAGTTACCATAAGTCGGACACTTTGTAATTGGCTGATTCTGCACAGTCCCGTATTTAATATGTATAATTTTACAGCAAATTGAATCTTGAACATTATACAGGGTGGCCCATTGAAAACGTTCCGCGAGGCATAACGGCCAGGGTAATTTTTTTTTCAGAAAATCCAAAAACACGTCAATTTTGTTTGTGAGGGGGACAACATTTGACCCAAAAAGCGGGGGTGTCATCCCCCAACTTTTTTCAAATGAAAAGGGCAGTCAAGTGGCGCCGCAATGAACAGAGCTTTCTATTCTGTATATTTCCCCGCCTCGTTTTTGAAAATCTGTCGAGTCATTGAGAAAATATGAAGGATTGAAATTTGAAAAGTTTATTTAAACATTTATCAGAGTAAATGATAAGGATAAATTCCTTCAACCGATTTGCTGTTTTTTCTTATTATTTTTAGATGTTTACGCATTTTTTCACTTGCCACAATGTTGAACAATCAGGTGGGGTAGTTGCTAGATAGCTGTTCAGTGACTTGTGCGTTGAAGTTGTTCTCAATATCGTTAAACTTTTTAACAATTATGGTGTACTCACTTGCAGAAAAAGTGGAAATAATCGAACTAAATTTTAAAAATAATGAATGTGGCAATCGGGTTGCGCAGATATTCAATGAACGCCATCCTGACAAACAGGTTTATGGCAAAATTGTTCGCGAGTTAGTAGTAAAAAACTGGTTTCGTTATGCAGAGGGAAAATCCTGTAGTAAATGAAGCTATGGAGGTATTCGTATTGGGCCAAGCTGCCATGGATAGTACGCTGAGTACAAGAAAATTAGTCATTAAGACCGGCGTGAATCGTACAAGTGTCTAAAGGATATTAAAAAAACACAACTTCCATCCGTACAAAATTCATTTGGTACAAGAACTCAACGAAGACGATTTTGATCGTCGCTTGCAATTTTGTGAAACTATGAGTGAACGAGTGGCCTATGATAATAATTTCCTATTTAATGTGTGTTTTTCGGATGAGTGTACTTTCTTTTTGAACGGTGTAGTTAATCGGCACAACTGTCGGTACTGGGCTGAGGACAACCCCAGGGTTTTTCACGAGGAGCACACACAAAACCCTCAGAAATTGAACGTGTGGGTTGGTATTTTTGGAAATTCTATTGTAGGTCCTTTTTTTCTTCCTGGAAATCCAACAGATGATATGTACTTGGATTTACTGGAAAATACCATCGATCCAGCCCTAACTGACATCATAGACAACAATCCTAGATCCGTTGAAGCGGAACTAATATTTCAACAAGACGGTGCACCTCCACATTGCTCTCAAAATGTGCGTAATTTTTGAACAATAACTTTCCCGGTTGGTGGATAAGACGAAGGGGTGCAATTGAGTGGCCTCCTCGGTCACCCGACTTGACTCCTTTAGACTTTTTTCTATGGGGAGACACAAAAAGTAAAGTATATAGCACTCCACCCGCCTCATTAGAAGACCTGCGAAGACGAATTATTAATGTTTGTTGCGAAGTGACCCCGCAAGTTCTTCAGAATGTTCTAGAACGGATTGAGAATAATTTGTATTACTGTATGGAGGTTGACGGGCAACATTTTCAGCATTTTCAGCATTTCTTCATTAATAAGATAAGTTTTTTTTAATTAATTCAATTTATGCGTTTTTTGCAAAAAAGTACTTTTCAAATTTCAGTCTTTCATATTTTCAAAATGACTCGACCGATTTTTAAAAACGAAGCGGGGAAATATAGAGAATAGAAAGTCCTTTTCATTGCGGCGCCACTTGACCCCCTTCCCATTTGAAAAAAGTTGGGGGATGACACCCCCGCTTAGAAGGTTGAAGATTTTGCAATCATTTTTGGGGAAAAAGTTGTCCCCCTCACAAACAAAATTGACGTGTTTTTGGATTTTTCGAAAAAAAAATACCCTGGCTGTTATGCCTTGCGGAACGTTTTCGATGGGCCACCCTGTATAAAATGGATTGATACTTTAATATTATTGGTAAAATAATCAATTCAATTACGCCAGTGTCATAAAGTGATGAAAAACAAATGAAAGAACTGTATATTTCTTTTTCTGGTCCCTTAAGTGTAATTGTCCTACCAAATAATAATAATAATAATAATAATAATAATAATAATGTTTATTTATATACCTATTTAAATTACAATGTTACAATAAATAAACATACAATAAACATAAATTTACCTCAGAAAAAATTAAACATTTTTTGTGCGAGGCATAGATTTACAACTATAATTTTAGAAAACACTTAAATTATAAATACACTCTAAAATTCAACAAACCTGTAATATGTAAAAAATACTTCCACAATAAAAACCTCCTGAATACCAAATACATCAACATACATATAAAAAATAGAAAATAAAACAGTAGTTTTTTTTTATTATTACTACCCGTATTTGCTCTGCCTGATTGGAGAGAATGACACAACCATTTATGTCCTGATTTAACAAGTCACAATTCCAATTTGATATGAATCTAAATCCATTAGCCATTTCTTTGTTAAAAATTTAAATTGTTTTAAGTTCTTTAGAGTTCTTATCTCAACAGGTAATTTCGAATAATACTTCGGCGCAAGATACTCCGGGCCTTTTTGTCCAATTACTTTCTTACATCTTAGTGTTAGTAGATTTTCGCCGGTATTGCCAGTTACGATCTTGTTTTTATGAAATGTAAATTGTGCATGTGGTTCGTTCAAATGAACGAATCGTAGGAGCCGATACGATATGAGAAATTGAATCGTGTGATTCGATTCACTAAAAAGAATCGTAATGCCCATCACTAATCTGTACTGTAGAGTGCTCTTTATATACAAGGGTCTCATATTATATTAATTTTCCGTTTTTCCCCTATGACATTACTCCAAACTACCCCATTCAGATAGCCAATTGTTCTTCTAGCTTGTGTTATTAATTTTTAGAAGTAACGTTTAATAGAAACGTTTAATAGAAGTAACTAACCAAAATTCATAAATTTTTAACTGAAAATCCCTCTTTTACAGAATCTGGTATAGATTTCAAGCTAACCCTGTTCTGACAGGTCCATCCCAAAGACTTTGTCCGTCTTATTTTGTCCCATAGGGGCACTTTCCAGTGATTATTTTTATAGATAACTTGCCGTTTGCAAGCCGTTTGCGAGCACTCGACCTAAATCGCCAGATAACCGAGAATAATTTTCTGAAAATGTGCAACAGAGCGGAAGACCGACTTTACTAAATTATATTACTGTCTATCCACTAGAAATAGTAGGTAGCTCTATTTCGCTGTCATAATTCGTTTGTGTTGTGCGAGTCATGTTCTGTATTGATCATCTGAAATATTTACTATTTTATTTTTCCTTTTGGTTTTAAATTCTTTATTTTTGTCCAGGAATTGTTAATTAACTAAAAATCTTGTCCCTCTGCTCTCTCTATTCTATAAAAGAATTCAGTAAATATACAGGGTGATTTTTAACCTATACGTATAAACTTGGGAAATTATTGCTGATGACAAATAATGACTAATAATGAAAAAAATGTTAGTAAAATATTTTTAGATTCTGAAATAATTTGATTTTTTTTCACAAAAATTTATCAACTTTATCAGTAAATGCCAAAGATATTTAAAAAAAAAATTGAGTTTGAATATCTTTGGTAAATGCACATTCAATTTAATGGAATTTACGTTTTTTGTTTTTATTTCAAATAGTTTGTTATATCCGTAAATAAAAATATTTAGTGCGCATTCAATTTAATGGAATTTACGTTTTTTGTTTTTATTTCAAATAGTTTGTTATCTCCGTAAATAAAAATATTTAACTAACTTTTTTTTCATTATTAGTCATTGTTTGTCATCAGCAATAATTTCCCAAGTTTATGTGTATAGGTTAAAAATCACCCTGTATGTACCGGGTGTCCCACTAAGAATAGCTCTTGGCTGTATCTCGGAAAGTATTAGTCGTAGGGGCTGCGGAAAAAAATATTTATTACTAAAGAGGCTATGAGAAATTGCTGGAAATTATTTTCAAGTTTGTCAAACCGCCGCTAGAGGGCGCAACTGCTATGGAAAATAAGAAAAATAGAATTTTTACACAATTTTGCCTAGATAAGGTGTACTATAAGTAATAGCTTCATAATCTTCTTGGATTTTTTTTGTTAGAACCATTTTCCCCTATCTGCTAAAATAAAGTGGTGGGGGAAGGTTAGATCTATCTTTATTTAAATGTTAATAACTCCGGACTGGATGATCAGAATCCAACAAACGAGGGCTCGTTTAAAAGAGTGTTTCTTACTCTATATTATACCATAGAAATAATAGTAATAAGGTTTTGAACGTAGACGCTAGGGGGCGCTTTCTTACAATTTAACAAATATAGCGCGTTTTTCAAAAAAATTAAATACGATAATATATGTAATTTTAGCCGATAGTAAAGGGTAGTAAAAGCTTAAAAAGTCAGCGAAAACCGCATCTTGATATCTTCTTTCAAACCGAAGATATTAGCAAAATTATAATACATAAATACCAAAAATAAGCCCTTAATGACCTTATTTTTACAACACGGTATCAGTAGCCCTCTTGATTATGTCCATTCTAACAAAAAAATAAGACAGAAACAGTTAGTTTATTTTAAAATCGACGAAATACCAGAATACCATAATACCAGATGTATTAATATCTAATATTTAAGATATTAATAACAGTGAACAAGAAAC